TTTTTTTTTTTTTTGAATCTACTTAAAGAATATCACTTTGAGGTTCTGAAAAGCTTTCTGCTCCTAGGGTTATTCATGCAAAGTATTCTATCAGACCTGGAGTCCCTGCTGCATCAAAGAAAGAGGCACACAACCTTTCCTATTCCTAGACTGGTGCTACTCTTCTCTGCCTGATGGCTGCCTCACCCTGCAGCTCTCTGTAGGGTCCAGAGCCAGTCATATGCCCTTACTCTTGTAGCTCCCACACAGCTAGTCAGGTCCAAGACTAGCTTTAATTGCTGGCACAGATTTCATACCAAGTGCCATATAATTATATACTTGGAATTCATGTGTACATTATCTGTACTCAGGATACTGTGTACCTGCTTCCAAATTACCACCATGAAACAATACAAGCCTATGGGATTGGGGTATCTCCACAAGTACCATTATTATTGGTATAAATACATTACCATAAATACCATAAATAATATGGTAGATTACCATAAATAATATGGTACTCCATGAGTACCATATTATTTACAATTCCTTCAGATAATTTAATTTGAGGAACTTTTCTGCTACCATCGTGTTTTATTAAAATATATCAAATTGCGATGAATGACAACATTTTTAAATCTGACATTGGGTCTCATGTATGACTTATTAAATAAAAGGGTATGGCATCATGTTTGTCTAGTCTGTCAACTGCTAGTTCTTGCTGGGATATTATTGGTAGGCTCTGTCAAGTACACATATAGGATTAGGTCAAAACCACTGACTCTAACTTCCAAAAGATAAAATCCCACATCCATGAAAGGATTTAAGTGTGATGACATTCAACGTTGTAATGCCTATGTTTTAGAAGAAAAATCTGGCTTTTGACAAAAATCCGAAGTCCTGAGTGACTTACCTGGGTTGCTTATTCAAGTCCTCAGGACCATTAGGCATCTCTTTTTAGGAGCCACAAAACCCAGTATACTGAGTCAGGAGCTACCTAAACTAGCCAAGAAGACATTAAAGGCAAGGCTGTTTCTCAAATCCTGCCCCTCTCCGGGGTGTGTAGTCACTTATTCCCACTTGGAGCTCACAACCTTCTTTTGAAGGTAGGTGCTCATGACCTTTCCCCCCAAAAAACCTGAAATAGGGCCACTAGCATCTTTTAAAATATCAGAAGGCATACCCTATGCAGTCTCATGCTTTCTCTTATACAATGTCTGAAAGCTTAAAGCATTCACCCAGGCACAGGAAACCCTGGCTTCATTTCCCCCTCCTTCAGAAGGGATTGAAACAACACAACTATTTCTCTACTTGAAAGATTAGAATTATTTTCATGAAGGTCATTCTTATGAGACAGCCTAGCTGCTAGGAGACTGCACAGACCTTGGAGGCCAGTAGGAGGAGGTCAGGAAACTTCAGAGTGGAAACATGAGAAAAAAAAAAAAGATCTAGAGGTGGAACTGTGTGCAGATAATTGGAGCTATGCTTTTGATTACATGGGGTTAGAATTCCAGCAAGCAACCTCATTAAAACCCAATTCAGAAAATACATTTCAGATGATTCCTAGCCATAGATGAAGCTAAATTGATAAAAAAAATAAATCTTAATTTAATGTTGGCAAGAGTATGGAGGGAATGGAAGCCTGGGACATATCTTATAGTTACATCCCAAACTGTCTGGTTCAGGGCCAAAAGATCAGTAGCAATAGAAGAAAGAAGCTATTTCATTCTGAAGATATTTTCATGAAGACAACCCTTTTCTACACATAGGCTTTCTATTAATGCTGTTACTTGCATGGTGACATGGCATTTTTTTTTAAATGGAAGCTTTTTTGAAATACTTTATTACCCAAACTATGCAGCAAAAACAATCTTCAAATTGAAAGAGCAATTGAAATGGTTATGAGCAAACAACCAAACAAAAGAAAGCTACAAAAGATCCAGGATCTTATCCTGTGCCCTTGAAGATACAGGCAATATCTTCTAAGGCTCTGCTCCTGTAGTGGACTCTGAGAAGTTATGCCTACCAATGAGGGTACCATATAGTCAAAAGGAGTCCTGCAGAAATGGTGATCAGCCTGTGGGGCATAAGTTGCAAGTCTAGCACAGAACCAAGAGCCAAAAATCTGTACTTAGTTGGACAGTTTGCAGTTCACATGAAACCTCAGACAAATCCAGGTTGGGGGGGGGGGGGG